CGGGCTTCTGGTGGAAGAATGACACGGACCATATCTTGTTCTTCAGCATCTGTCGCCACCAAGTGTTCCTTAATATTGGACTGCAAAAAACCTATGATTAGATCGAAATGAAAAAACAAATATCAACCATATGGCCACAAGAGAATTATTTACCCACGTATTATCGAAAACCTCACTCGCCAGTACATGAATCCTGCTCGAATAAGTGCACGACCACCTGAGAAGTCGTGGAATGGCTCATCGCTCAACCTCGTTTCTACTCGCAAACTCAACGTCGAGATCATCTCATACGCCCATACCTGGAATTCAGTGAAGGCAAATAAATGATGCAGTTAAATAATGTATTAAATTATACAGTTGACTTAAACCTCGCCAACCTGAAATGCGTACGGAAACCCGTACAAACTATAAGTCTCAACGTGTGTGGGGTCGGCTCTTGCCTTCTGTTGGTAGGCCGACAGTTTATCCTTCAGGGCGTTCTTGAGACTCCARATCGTCCTATCAAAAACCATCGAACTCCAGTCATAGTTGCATAACGCCTCMCACCAATGTACAACACCTAACATGGCCATATCTATGAACTGCTTCCTCTTCTTCCCCATCATAGCAAGTTCTATGAAGTAAACTATGCCAACCTTGACAACATCCTCGTCGTCGTAAAAACGTCCTCCAAAAAATCTTTTCCAGCTCCCTACACTTAACCTTAACACTATCTTTAAAGTAACGTGCTCTAAGTCTTCGTCCGGAAATATGATTATCTACCCTATTCATCCTATGACTGAGCCTGGTGATTAGGTCGAACTCTCGCTTACTAAAAGACACCCTATTCCCAAACAGGTCAAAACTAATGACGTCCTGCCTAGGCTCTTTAACCTCTCTCAACAACAGGTGATGGATCAATGGACCGTTGAAATCAACGTCCATGTCCRAAATTGGACCGAAACATGTTTGCCTAAACATGTYTAACTGGGTTGGGGTTAGCTTGGCCTTAATACTAGAAGTGATTTTATCTACATGGGCAAGGTTTGTCAACGTGGCTGGAAACCAATCATTACGATTTAGGATGAGTCTCAAATCCATTGTACGTCCTAAACAAAGTTAAAATAAAAAAATATTAGATCGAKACTAATGCCAAGTGACAAGGAACTTAAAAAAAACGTTATGTGCGTGAATATAATAAAAAAACTAAGCAAAAGAGCATTCTGCCTTTCATCCCAGACTCAATTGGACTGGGACGAGTCTGAGATGAGAAGCAGATTAGGGTTGTCCCATTCTGCCTTTCATCCCGGAATTGGCCTGGTCCGGGATGAAGGCCGATCCYGGACACGTCCCGGTCCGGTTCAATCCGAGATGAGAGGCAGAATGAGGCAGAATGAATCTGCCTTTCATCTCGGATCCGAACAGGATCGGGGTGTGTCCGGGATCGGCCTTCATCCAAGACCGAACCGGACCGGGCCAAGTCCRAGATGAAAGACACTCCCAGACCAGGCTCGGATCGAAGGCTGATCTTAGATACAATCAGGATTAAATCTCGGACCACTAAAGTCCGAGATTGAATCCGAGATTGAATCAATCTCTAGAATTTTTARTCCTCTACAATCACAACGTCAAACTATACTTAAATCTAACTAAACCTAAATCTACAAGGCTGCTTTAGATAACGCCAGCAATGCTAATACAACAAAGAATAAGAACTTTCGTTATATCGGAAAAGATAGCAACTAACCTTGCGGCCTTCGAGATGAGTCTGACGCTTACAAATGAGTGCAAAAGAATGATCTTCAGAAAGAATGGAAGAGATTTGAGAATAGAAYCGTTTGGGATTCTCCAAGATAGGGGTTTAGGGTTTTACTTGGGATGAGAGTGCTACGAAACGTCCGAGACGAAGGGAGGGAGGGAATGAAATTTTTAAAACGAGGTACAATGGTAATTTCATTATGTCATATTTTGAGAAGGGTGTTGTGGACATGTGATGTCCGAGTAGAGAATATGAGTACATGAATGAACTGATATCACATTCGAATGAGTCCTTAAAAGAATTGATATTTACTACCTATACTAAAAAGGTGCATTTCTTTTTTGATAACTCAATCGTAAGAACTCCCAAGTTAAGCATACTTTACTTGGAGCAATCTTCGATTAGGTGACTTTYTGGATCAAACCATTTGATTTCATTCCTTCAAAATAAAAAAAATGATTTCGATACCCTCGTAAATATGACCTTAGAAGGTAATAAATGGTCTAATTGTGTAACTCTCTGAGAAATTATGACTAACAGTGGTTCGATTATCTTTGGGATTAGTRCATAGATAGTTTATTTAGGAGTCCTAATTACGTAAAAGGATGGCAAAGTATAGAATTTACACTTTTGTCTAAAATAATTCTGAAATTAGATGGTACCCATAATAAAAATTACTAATATATATATCTCAATATTAAATCATTAATAAAATATGAAATTGGTAAATCATTATTAAAATATATTAAATCCCTATGTGCCAATTCAACTTTCCAAAACTGAAAATCCAAAAAGCCCCAAAAATTTGTAACCACCTTCATCTCCCTCGATTTTCTTTCACCGCTCCGACCGTCAGGCTTCGTCTCCTATGAAGCATCTCTCTGACGTCCTCGTTGTCTCCGACAGCTTCTTCTCCTTTGTTTGCAGAACATTTCGCTGCCGGCCTCCGACGCATCTCATACGGTAACATCGTCACTGTTCCTTCGTCTCCGGCGGCTCCATCGGCTCCATTATATGGAAACATCTAATTCCATCTCCGGCCTCCGTCGCATGAGCATTTCAGTCCGTCAGTTCTCATTATACCGTAGTTTATGCTATATTTAGGTTTCAATTTTGGACAGAATCTCTTGCTCTCTGGTTCCCATTATACCGTAGTTTATGCTATATTTAGGTTTCAACTTTGGACAAAATCTCTTGCACTCTRGTTCTAWCATTTATAATAGTGTATATTTGAGTATATATAATATAATGTTTAGATTAGGATATATAATATATCTCTAGTTTTAAGTATCTCGATATATACCAGTGAATCTATCATTTATTGTAACCAAAATTTAAAGAATTAGAACCCGAKCATACGGACCACTTTCCATGAAAAAGGTATTTGGTTTTCTAGTAATCACAGAGGATTTTCGGTATTACACTGTTGTTGCTAACTGGAAGAATTTTAGCTAGAGTTTATACGAGTATATTTGTCTGATTTCGTTTGTTCTGAATAGTATATATGTGGGGATATATAGTATTTAGAGTAGGATATATATTATATCTCAAGTTTTATGTATCTCGATATATACAAATGGTGATTTGAAGTTAATAATCTATTGGATATATACGTTACTGATTTATATCAATACACCCGGATAAATTTTATATCTCAAAAAGTTTAATCTATATTATGTCGGATATATTGTATATTCAATATGTTATACTTTATACCATGTCTTATAGAATTTCATATTGGCTTTCATCTAGGATTGTTTGCCTGAAATGAGCATTTATTATTTTACATGTTTCATGTAGATATATATTAGTTAAATTACGTTAACATGGTCAAGTGCAAAGGACTACCAAAACAGAAGGAAAGAAGAAGTAATAGGTTACTTAACCAATCTTCCAGCAAGTCGAACAAAGACCCTTTATATGTTAATCTTAGCTCAAAGGTAAGCACTTCTTTCATTATATTATTTTCAAGATCTATATAGGTTATAAATACATGGTATGTTTTAAATTGGGTTGCTCTTAGGAGAGCGCTGAGGAAGACACAAAAAGAAAAGGATGCTCAACCAYTGAAGCCTACCTTCTACAAAGATTTGTTCGATAATATGCCACATTATAAGAAGTACTTGCCAATAATCATTTTACCAGAACAAGATGAACAGGTCAAGACGGAAGTTACTATATGTGATCYTATARTTGAGTTTCCAAATGAAGATGAAGTCGTTGGAACTCAAATTGTTTCTTTTGCAGTAATACATATAGATATTATTTATATTTAGCACAATTAATAGCGACTATATGCATATTAATATGTTACCTTCASGTGTGTGCCGATCAACCTCTTCTTGTTCTTCAAGTGATAAATTAATATGTAATTTAAAACAAGAAAATAAATTCATTCATAACACCAAAAAAAAAGTTACACATTTGGAAAAACACAATAGGAAGTACAGTAATAATAAGCTGTAATCATAAGAAATCATAAAACTATGTAATTGCTTATGGCGTGAATGACGGTGGAAAAAATTGATTTCAATAACACAATAAGAGACTATGAATGGCAGTGGTATACAAATAGTGATTTTTTTTAACAAGTGCAAACAGCAGAATGTGAGAGGCGTGCAGACAATGTAGAAAAAATCTTTTACCATTTCGAAACATTGTAGCACCGTGCAYTGTAGCAAAAATTGATTGTGAATAAACCAATATAGCACCGTAGTAGTGAACGAAGATGTATGAATCAGAAGAAAAAGAATGTTACAAGTARCAGAAATAAGAAGAAATGGGGATGATGAGATTTTGATATTTTTTTTAATTAATAATATTGGTAAATAAAGCAAATCAATATTTTTGAGGGATTTGGAGGGGTGAATTAAGGAATTTGAATTRGCAATTAATATGGGTCCACGTTAATTAAAGGATTGTGATATTAATTTATGGAAATAACTATTTTATATTTCAAAAAATCAAAAAACTATAATAAATGAAAATACATTAAGTAGGGGTAAATTGGGAATTAAATTAAAATCCTACAAGTTTAAAATTATAAAAATTTAAACATTTATATAAATAAGTTTTTGAAACAATCAGATATTATCTCATTATCTTTCGATGAAACTGTAGGCCCAATCCAGCAAGGTTCGGCCCATTGGACAATATAGGCCCAATATGTGGTTCGAAAGCCGGGCCTGTTCATGACAGTGACGACATGTCGACAATGGAAATTGGCAACTGACAAGTGACGACGAAACCATAGCCATTATAGCCCCCACTGGGTGGAGTGAAGAACTGAAAAATCACGAACAAGAAGAAGAAGCAGACACGGCAGATTCTCAAGAACCAGAAATTTTCCTCGAATTTGCTCCACAAATTCTCCGCCTCATGGTCCCTCCACTTCCCAAGTAGCGTCCATGGCCGGTTCCTGCACCTCCTTCTCTCGCCATCTCATCAAATCCACCGTTTCCGAACTCGCCAGAACAATCCGCACCGGAGCTCCGGCGCCGCTCGTTCGATTCTCCGCCAAGAGCTCCAACAACGCCGTTTCCTCTTCCGACGAACTCGCTCAAGGCCCCTCCTGCATATTCGTCGGTCCTATCGACACCGCCAGTAAAGAAACCCTCGAAGCTCTTTACCTTCAGGTTCGTATTTTTGCTATTCTGGAATTCTGTGTCTCTTCTCCGTACCTGTGTTGCTTATGGTCGGTGTGTTTTAGGCKAGTGATGCGTATTACAGTGGTAAACCCTTGATCCTTGATGATATGTTCGACAGAGTCGAGGTATGCTTGCCAATTCGTACAAATTCTAGATCAACCTTGTGGATTTTGTTACTATCTTCTTACTTTGAGTATGATTGAATCAGTTGAAACTGAGGTGGTATGGTTCTAAATCTGTGGTCAAATATCCTCGTTGCAGTCTTAGACGCCAATCGACGTATGCGGATGCTGAGGTGATATTCTCCTTCTCAAGCAACTTGGTTCTTATGATTCAGTTGATAGTTGTGCTTGTTTAGTCTTTCAACTTCAAAATATTACAATCATGTTCTTAAATTTTGAATTGTTTGGCTAACTTTGGCTCGACCTAGCAGAGAAGAAAGTCGACTTGTGCAACGTGCCCTTTCTTTGAATCAATGTATCAAATCCATTTTAAAGATCATGCTACTTGCTACTCTATTTTGAAGTTTACTAATTATACACAACCATCCAACTTTTGGGACTAAATGTTTTGATTTAACCATAGAAACATTGATGAAGTCCTTGTTTGATCTGAACTGAACTAATTGCCTTTTTTTTTTCTCCCTAAAAATATGTTTTTGTTCGGGTATGACTATTAGATTGATTTTCCAATGCCATGAAATTTTATGCTCTAGTAAATTAGCCCTCTTTTCCCTCTTTTTGCTTGCTTCATTTGAATATTCAGTGACATGGATGTAGGGCAGGAAGATCTATCGCAGGTTCTTGCACTAGCAAGCATATGGTTGGTGTTTCTGGCACTAGGCTGTGCAGCCTGTCTTGTTCCCATCGTGTACGCGGTTGACTTGGTTTTCAAGGATCCACTCAGTTTAGGACTTTCCTATCACAGCCAATCTGCCTTCGAGTTTCTTTCGGCATTAAATGCTATCCTCTTCATGGCCTTTGGATCTCTGATTGGGTACCCAATTGCWACAGCTTCTGGTAAAATTTTTACTCCTTGATTCTGCAATTCATTATATCACTGAAGGAAACCTTAATTGGAATGCATTTTTCCTCATTGGGGATAAATATGGTACTAATTATTTTGCACTTATGGCTCACATTCCAAACATGGATCCATTTAAGATTGTGCTTGCTTAACTAGTTACTTCATTGGCTTTTGGCTGTTGCTGCAGTGGGAGTGCTTCAGGGCTTATGGAGAAATGATCTGGTGGCGCTGAAAGGAGCTTGCCCAAATTGTGGAGAAGAGGTATGTTAAAATCTATTCATTACATTAGYCAGCACTATTGTTTCGGATGGCTCATGATATGTTCCTTTATGCTCTTCTCCCTTTATCATTGTAATTTTTGGTTGAAGACTAGTTTCCATATCCAATTTGATACTTGTATCAAAGGAAAAAATTATAGTTCCACATGTTGTTACCTGTTCAAACTAATTTCTCTTTTCAGGTGTTTGCATTTATCAGATCGGACCGTGCCAATGGATCTCCTCATAGATCAGACTGTCATGTGTGTGAATGCTTGTTGGAATTCCGGATCAAGTTTGAGGTAATTTAGTTTGCTTTTGTTTCATACCACAGATTAATTGAAGAAAATTCAATCAACTAGTATTCCTTTTCCCTGAGGAACACTCTGAAATCGAAAATTCCAATTCAGCCCAAAGAAATGGGTTTTTCCTGATTGAGCATTTTACTGAATGGTATCCCCTTCCCTTGCAGTTTCATCCCTGAAAGTTCTGTTCGTATACAAGATTATAAGATGCCCTTTAAATCAGGGCCAGAGCCTATTAAAGGCTATATTATATAAATTGCCCCTCTCAATTTTGTCCCCCGGCGTTTTGAATGTTTCAACTTTACCATCAATCTTTTAATTCATTTCATACACACCCCTTCATTAGCCATCTCTATTAAGGTGTCTAATGGAAAGTAAAAGATTAGAGATGAAATTGAAACTTTTGGGGAAAAATGGAAACCAACCATATACAGTAGGACAAAATTGCTACGACCACATATGTAAAGGACAGAATTGCTCTTAATCTTTGTACTTATAATGGAAATTGCTAATGGAGAGTCTTTTTGTAAGTTTAGAGTAAATTGAAGCTATTAGAACAGTAAGGACAGTATTGATACATAGTTCTGGGGAAAGTTATCTGTTCTGAAGAGGGAGATAGTTAATGTGGGGTTGTTATTACGCAGAAATCAAGTTCAGGAGTGGGACGACAATGGGTTTATGGGCGTATCTACCTTGTATCAGGAAGGGGTAAAAGCAGAAGCCAAAGATTGCTGTAGGATTTCGACTCTCAGATCAGATGTAAGACCAACTTGTCTATATATAGTGAGTGACATGATTCTTTCCTCCAATCTTCATCTGCTTGTAATGTAGTCACTGCTGTATTCTGCAATGGGTCTTTGTAGTTGTACCATTTTCTGACACTAATACTAGTTTGCTCAGAAACCGATCTTATTTCAATGAAAGAATATATAAGGGGCATACAAAATACAAGCTCGACGAGAGGGTACCAGCCTATAAGAAGGACCCAGATCCCCAATGTATAAGGACACGAATCAAAAAGGATAACATTTAGCTGATAATTACAAAAAGTCTTTGAGATCAACACGGTCAGAGAGGTATTGTCGGTTCCGAAGACTTTTTGAGTTAGCATAGCCCTGATTTTTTCCTCGGATGATTTTAAGATTTCTYCCGTTAGACCTTAAGGTGTATTCRTGTTGCTACCCCATTTAAATTGCATGTTCGGTATCTCAGAAAGAGAGTTATGACTAATAAGTCCTTGAACTTTAAAAGTATCTAATAAGTATTAAACTTTTTGATGTGTGTTGTTTACTCTCACTTTTGTGATTAATAGGTCCTTGAACTCTAAATAGGTCCCAAAACTCTAAAAAAATGTAGCGACTAGATACAAAATTGAAAGTTTGAAGACCTGTAAGATACTTTTTGCTCAATGACCTATAAGACATAATATTGAAATTTAAAGATTTATTAGACACTTTTTAGAGTGAGATAAAAGTCGACGAAACTTATAATCATTTGATAAAGTGGAATGATCATAATCTAATCTAGTTTGATTGTTTTGAGTATCTTCTAACTRGATTATGTGATATGTGGTCCTCGCACCGTCTATCGAGGCTCTCAGATGGGCTATGTTTTGTGGGAATTAAGCATCGAGAAGACAGATGACCAGTCCCGATCTTACCGTTAGAATATTTGTGGAAACATGAATTTTTAGTATGTCAATTTTATTTGTCAATTTAGACAAAACTATCTTTTGATGTTTAGAAGTTTCTAGACTAGGCATGTTTCAATTTCAGGCTCAATCATTGACAAAAATCAATTTTCAACCTCACAAACTCTTGTAATAAATGTTGAAGTTTAGCTTGCAAATTGGTGGTGTTTCAATTTCAATGGACAAATATTGTTAAATAAAGAGTTTCATCTACAAGAATGAAGAGGTAGAAAATTTAGGAGTTGAAGAATTTAAGAGTACAAGAAACAATACTTGGATGCCAGAATTGAAACTTTTAGCTTGAAGAATAATAGAATATAATGGAAGGAATCTCCAGCTAACATGATTGAAGCTTACACGATGCGATGGTAGACTTTTTGAAAGTTTTGTATTGTTATAAATATTATATTARATTTTATTAAATTCCCTTCGAACTGTCGAGGAAGGTTTTTTTTTTTAAGTACAATATGTCGGAGAATCGAATTCACAACTTTTTTATTGAAGATATATGCTAATTACGGTTGAGCTATGTTTGTTTGAGTATTGAAGAATGTTTCGTTTTAAAAGTTTCAAAAATACCTTTTTAATGTGGTGGAGATACATCTAGAATTGAGCTGTAAAATGTAGTTTTAATATGCCCCAACTATTTAAAGCSTTTTCATTTTAACTCTTAACCTTTAAAACTGCTTATTAAAAATAATAATAATAAATAAATAAATTTCTATTTCATCAGTTATAACACATGGAGGTTTCATTATTGATAAGCTACACTCATGTTGGCAGATGAATRGGTTCATGGGAAAATATTGTGAGAAAATGGTGGGATCGGTTCTTGCGGGAGAATGCTCAAGCTTAATTTTGTTCATCGATTAGTTAAAATTTTCATTGAAATCGATGAGTTGATGGGATTTTAAATTTTATTTTCTTAATAGTTAAAATTTTAGTGGGTGAATGTAATGAAAATTGAAAAACCATAATTTAAGAAAAACACTTGTATAATCTTAATTTTTTCTATATTTGAAAAACATGTCATGTATTACCTACCATGGGCAAAAGTTAAATTTTCTCCATATTTTAGATGTGATGTTGGATTTAGATAATAATCATGTTTGTTTTGTAGTAAATTTATAATGATGTAAAAAAAATTACGTATATTCATGTAATTTATACCTTAACTTTTATTTTTTCATTAATTTAATAATTTTTTATCAATTTAGTTTATATTAAATTTAAATGTTATTTTATAGAATATATCAAGATGAAGTAGAATAAGCTKACATGACATTTTAATAATGGAATTGGTTTTAATCTAATTTTAAACTTTCAGACTTTAAATGACATTTTAATCMAAATTAAAATACAATAACAAATAATAAAAAATTTAATCACGTCTTAATTAAATTTCGCAATATTAATAAAATAATAATATAAAAATAGAAATAGAAATAAAAAAATAAAAAGGTTGAAGTCAGTACAATGTATGCAATTTCTAAAAAAAAATAAAAGGTGGAAGTCGGGTACAATGTACGCGACTTCCAAAAAAATGTGGAAGTCGGAGACTTTCGCGTAGTCACCTGTCACGTCAAATATACACGTTTGCACAAAAATTGTTGGTACAAATATACACGTTTGCACAAAAATTGTTGGTATTGTACACGGATTTTGACTTTCACTCTGACCTGACCTATTTTTGTCAATAGTTTTGAAATCCTAACTTATTTATGAATTTATTTTGTTATTATTTTTAAACTAACATTATTTTTAAATTTAAAAAAAAAACCTAACATTATTTTTGTMATTTATTTTTAAAACTATATTATTTAAAAACTTTATCCCGTTGAATCCAAAGATTTTGTTTTCGATATAAAAATTAAAAACAAGGCGAAGACAAGATCCCATTACCAATTTCCCATAGCGTTTTCACTCTTTTCTTTTATTTATTATTTTTATTTACTTGATTTTCTTACCAATTAACTTATTAAGCTTCTTCTAAAAAATTCTTAATAAGACTTCTAATAAATTATTAGGTTTCTTTATTTCTTAGCAAGTTACTGGTGTATTATCACGTGGAAAGGTAGGCAGGATTTATTTTTTATTATTTAATTTTCACTTAACATTAATTAAAAAAAAGTGTTTATAAATTGATTGATATAGCTCACGTTCGAAGTAATGTTGGAAGAAAATTTCACTTTAGAAGGTCAAAATTTTATAAACTTTTGAAATTTAAACTCAATTAAAGCAATATCGTCAATTATAATTATAAGATAAAATATTTCAAGAAAGTGAAACGACAAAACTTTTTACATTCTAACGCTTTTAAAWTCCATATATTTTTCAATTAAATTTTCGTTTATTCAAAGTTAATTTTCCAACCATTATGTTTTATTTAATAAAAATATTATTGATTTTTTCCCCTCATTTTTAGTATTACGAACTTATCAATTTTTTTTAAAAAAAATAGATAATCACGATTCTTAATTTAAAAATTAATTTCTTATTTAAATCCATATTTGTGAATTTAATTAATAAATATAATAGTTACCGTAACAAATAAAATATATATTATACTGCTTCTATAATATTTATTTTTAGTCCACTTTTAATTTTAATGAGTAATAATACATTTAAATTAAGGAAAGAAATGTGTTCTAGAATTTTAATTTAACAGAATCATAAACAAGTGCTCGTAACATTTCTAWACAAAATATTCATATACATTTTTAGTTTTTTTCTAATTTAACAGTTACAAAAAAGTATGTCATTTTTATTAAAAGAAACTAAAAAAAACAAATATAATAACATTATAATAATTGTTAGTAGGAATATGACAATGTTCATATTACAAATAAAAAAGAACTTAGTAATAATTGAATTGAATTTGACTACTTGGGTTTTTCTTTTCTATTTTCCTGTTGCCCGTCTAGTCCTCACACTCAAAAATCGCCAAACCGACTCGTCTGAACCATCGGTTTAGAGTTCAATTAATATGTGGTTCGGTTTCGGTTTAACTCTAAAATTGAGCTTAACCAAACTTTGAATGCCCCTACTTATCACGTCTGATAAAGTTATCTACCTTTGAAATCAGAGTAATATTCTTCGTCGACATCAACATTTTAAACATTGTTTGAAACCAAGGATGATAATGAAACTTGAGATTGAGAAAGAGTAGCAGAATTGCTTGTGTATGAACAATTTATTCCTTTAAGAAGATTGAATTGGATGTAACAGAATCAATAATAASAACTAAAATTTCTAATGAAATTAATCTACTTCTACATCTTGGACCCTTCTAACAAAGTTCTCACTCCTTAACACCATGCTACTGCACAATCACTAATCAAAAAGCAAGCAAGCAACAATGGCGGCCAACRCCCCTTATGTTGCTTCACCCGACATCGATGTCGAGAACGATGACGAAACCATTATCAGAAATGTCCCAAGCTGTAAACTAGAGTCCACATGAGCTGAACAACAGAACAAGAAAGAAAATGAAAACAAGCATTTGAAAATGAACAAAAGACTCAGAAATTTACACAAGCAGAGGATGGAGACTATAGTTTATCAGAAGACAGAGGGAGAGGAAAAGATGCTGTAAGATTACCAGAAACAGAGTTATGGAAGCAAAAAGCCCTTCCTGAAGGAGAAGTCCGTGACCCCCGAATTCTTCTTCGTCGACTTTCAAAATAATTGCGTAGTATCCGTATACCATCGTGGTCAATATCACCAAGAATCTGAACCAAAATGAGACAAAATTCAGACAATGCAACACATCTAAGATGATACCACAAGACAGTGAAAATTTCAAGTTTGCTGTTGAATCTCTAAAGAGAATGGCATGGAGCCATGCATTTAACCAAACTAAACAAATCCCGCTTAGCGACGTGGACAAACTGAACCCTTTCGGGAGGGAGGCTRACCAAATCGTCGAACTCGAACCCGGGAAACTCCTTCATGGATGTCAACATATTTAACTAGAGCTCCATTTTCAAGGACTAACTAGCTTATTGAAAAAGCTCAAGATGTGTGAATTACCAATGAAGGTAAAAGAAAAGACAAACCACTCATAGACCAGCTGAACTATTCAAATTCTTCATGATGTTCAGTTAGAAAAAACAAAGAACACTTCAAAAAAAAAAAAAACATTCTATTATGATTTCCAAAAGTGTTTATAAAAGAAAGTTTCATTCAGATCAGAACAAGTGAGCCCAGAAGCATTCATGAACACCGGCCGGTGGCATGGTGGACTTGTGGCCGAA